CCCCCGCCCCAATCGGGCGGAGGTTATTGTGTTTTGATAGCACTCACCGATTGTTTCCTGGTCTAGTCTTCTACAGCAATCACAGACACATTTCGATTGCGGCCAACCATGCAAAACATAGCCCGGTGAAGGACTGCTCCGGTTTTTTTTCAATAGAAAACAATTCTAACGAATAGTGTTTGTCTAATGAAGAAACAACCTGCGGTTACCCGCCGCCAAACGAGAGGATGGGCCTGGCACGTGCAGACCGGAGTGGGTGCGCTACGAACTGACGAACAGGACAATCTACTAACCACTCTAGAGGTGTGTAAAATTGAGTGCAATCGGCCCGGTCGTTTTCGAGATCTTGAAGCGGCAACCTTCACGTGCGCACGTGCAACCTGGGTCCCAACTGACTTGTGCACGGCACCCTAGTTGCCGGTCTCTAGTGGTGTACGGAATGTGAGCTCAATCGGCCCAGCCGTTTTCAAGATCTGGAAGCGACCCCTATCACGTGCGTACGTGCAGTTGCACCCCAACCGTGACACATGAATATACATACTAACTGACTTGTGCACAGCACCCTACTAACCGGTCTCTAATGGTGTGCCGAACTTGAATGCAATCGGCCCAGCCGTTCCTGAGATCTGGAAGCGTCATCCTGCACGTGCGCACGTGCAAGATGGGTCCTAACTGACTTGCGCACGGCACCCTACTAACCGGTCTCTAGCGCTGTACCAAATTTGAACTCAATCGGCCCGGCCGTTCTCGAGATCTCGAAGCGTCACCCTGCACGTGCGCACGTGCAGTTGCACCCCAACCATAGCACATGAAAAGGCCTGGTCCGGCGGGTGCCTACATCCTTGTGTAGTTTCAGTGCAATCAGCCAAGTAATTACCGTGTTATTGTCATTACAACAAAAGTGGTACCTCTCCGTTTTACACGTGTCACGTGCAGTAGGGGTCACCGGCATGCATCATCCATAGTAAATACTTCTAAGAAGGGTATACGCTACCCCACACAAAAAAACCGCAAGTGTATTGGTCCAGTGGCTGCGGAGATATAAGTCGTACAAAAACGTCCCCACGGCGGCCGGCTGCTAATGTTTAGTATTAAATCGCATCCTTCAATGGGAGGTATCCCTGTCACCTGTTCGTATACTGTCTGAGCCAAGACCATATATAGGTCTGAGCTCAAATCTCGGTAAAGTCGTGTTTTTTTACCAAATTCCTCAAAAACGGCACAACGTGCAATAACTTTCTATATATCATTGGAAAGAGCATCAAAAGTTGTATTACCTATCAACTTTTCACTTAAATATATCTCAACTGTAAAAAGTTATTAAGCAGCAAAGACGCTCCCATTGACTTTTCATGTTAAAATTTTTCATTTTTAAACGAGCCTAAAAAGAACAAACGAATTTGCACAGCTTAAAGAAGCATAACAACATGTTCTATGGTCTTTTCTCAACAAGTCCTGGAAGTTTAAACAAAATCGTATCATATAATTTTGTACAATGAGCGAATGTAAATGTCTCTGCAAAAACGCCCATTTACTTAACATGGGGAGCGAAAAAAGTTCAACTTTGACCTCGTGCAAAGACACGTTACGAAGTTCTGACGTGTATACCGCGCACACTGGCGTGTACCCAAACGTGTTTGCCATAAAATGCTGGGAAGAAAACCACCTCTTCCTTGGCTCGTTTTTCCGCCATTGGTGATCGCGCAAAAAGTGTCCGAAACCCCGTTGACTTAACATGGGGAAAATGGAATCGCACGTGCCACGTGCCACGAGGTTTTAAGCGAGTAGCGACCGGTGCCATCAGGTAGATCGCCTTCGGGAGCCCATACCCTGAATTTTTTACGAAAATCGAGCCATAAGTTTAGGCCCCTACCAAGTTGCCCCAATTCGCGGCCAGACATGCAAAACATAGCCCGGAGAAGGACCGCTCCGGTTGTTTTTCAATAGAAAAACACAATTCTAACGAATAGTGTTTGTCTTTTCAAACAACCTGCGGTTACCAGCATCTGCGATGCTGGGCTCCGCATCGCGGGACCGCAGGTTGTTTGAGCAAGCACCTCTGTAACGCCGCAAAAACGCCCGCCGCCAAACGAGAGGATGAGCCTTGCACGTGCAGATCGGAGTGGGTGTGCTACGAACTGACGTGCACTGCACTCAACTAACCGGTCTCTAGCGGTGTGCCAAATTTGAGTGCAATCGACCCGGCCGTTTCCGAGATCTGGAAGCGACACCCTGCACGTGCGCACGTGCTACCTAGGTCCCAATTGACTTATGCACGGCACTCTATACGCCGGTCTCTAGCGGTGTACCGAATTTAATCTGAATCGGCCCAGCCGTTTCCAAGATCTTGAAGCGACCCCCACAAGTGCGCACGTGCAGCTGCACCCCAACCGTGGCACAGGAAAATACATACTAACTGACTTGTGCACGGCACCCTACTGATCGGTGTCTAAAACTGTGCCAAATTTGAATGCAATCGGCCCGGCCGTTCCTGAGATCTGGAAGCGTCACCCTGCACGTGCGCACGTGCAAGATTGGTCCTTACTGACCTCCGCACGGCACCCTACTAACCGGTCTCTAGCGGTGTACCAAATTTGAACTCAATCGGCCCGGCCGGTCACGAGATCTGGAAGCGTCACCCTGCACGTGCGCACGTGCAGCGGCACCCCTACCGTGGCACATGAAAATGGATCGCCTGGTAGGTGACTACCTCCATGCCAAGTTCCAGCGCGATCGGCCCAGTAATTACCGAGTTATTGCACTTATTACAAAACTGACACCTCTCCGTATTACACGTGTCACGTGCAGTAGGGGTCACCCGCATGCATCGTGCATAGTAAACTGCTTGTAAGAAGGGTATACCCTACCCCACACAAAAAACCGCAAGTGAATCAGTCCAGTGGTTCCGGAGATATAACTCCTGCAATGTGAAAGAAGGGAAAAAGCTACCCCACACAAAAAACCGCACGTGTATCAGCCCAGTGGTTGCCGAGATATAAGTCGTACAAAAACGTCCCCACGGCGGCCGGCCGCTATTTAGCAGTAAAATCGTGTCGCATCCTTCTATGGGAGGTATCCCCGTCACCTGTTCGTATACTGTCTGAGCAAAGGCCATACGTTACGGTCCAAACTCCATAGTGAGGCGGACATACGAATTTACGAGAGTTTAGCGACGAAATGATTCACTTAATTGTTAAGTAATGGGTACCATTAGACCATAAATTTTATCTAGCATCTCACCGTAGATGCAGTAAAAAGTGCTTTACTTTTCAATGTATATAAAGACTTGCTCAGCTCAATCAGTTCACTCTGTATTGGCTCAAGCCGTATCATGCGAACGCAATACAAACTAGAGCACCAACAGCGCAGCGCTCCCCAACTCACTGCTCGCCCAGTCCACCCGGGCCGCCGCCACGACGGCCCCCCGCAAGTAGGCATCCCGCACTGCACCGACAGCCGCGGGCGACCAGCTGACCGGCCAGCTGACCGGCCAGCAGCCGGCGGGCGGCAAGCCGCGGATGGCCGACCCGCCGGCGCGGCGAGGGAGGGGAGGGACGCAGCTGAAAGACCCGACTACATATATATCAAAGAAACATTATATGTAATCATCGATGACGCGACATAAATCTGCTTTATTGGGTTTAGCGGTGTAGTCTGTGATGCCATCACAATGAAAATAGCCTAGTTTTGTAGAGCATCAAATTCTGATTCCATAACGACTCTCGCTAGTCCATTTTCAACTGTAAATAAGCCTTTTATTGCGATGCAAAGTCCCGAAATGGTGCCGACGGCGGCCGGTCCCCCGATGGTACCATACCATAGATCAGAGGGCTGTTCACGGGCCCTGTGTGCGGTCGGACCGCACACAGCCTCCAAGCTCCGCCCACTGCGTCCCTACGTCAGCCTTCCGTCACCGCACACAGCGATCGCTGTGGCCGGTCGGGACTGGCCACAGCGGACCGTCCACCGCACGCAGCCGTGACGTCAGAACCGCCTACCCATCCCCTACCCCCACGCCTGCTGGACGCACCGCACACAGCGCACGCAGCAGTGTGCGGTGCCCGTGAACACCCCTCTGGTAAACAGGTTAGTTCACATTCCCGCCGCTATGCGGGCGGCGGCGGCGCCACCTGTCCTCGTGTCCGCCTGACACCGTAACGATATAGGTCTGAGCTCAAATCTCGGTAATGTCGTGCTTTTTTACTATATTTCTCAAAAACGGCACCACGTGCAATAAAGTTGTATATATCATTGGAAAGAGCATCAAAAGTTGTATAACCTATCAACTTTTCACTTAAATATATCTCAACTGTAAAAAGTTATTAAGCAGCAAAGACGCTCCCATTCACTTTCCATGTTAAAATTTTTCATTTTTAAACGAGCCTAAAAAGAACAAACGAATTTGCACAGCTTAAAGAAGCATAACAACATGTTCTATGGTCTTTTCTCAACAAGTCCTGAAAGTTTAAACAAAATCGTATCATATAATTTTGTACAATGAGCGAATGAAAAAGTCTCTGCAAAAACGCCCATTGACTTAACATGGGGAGCGAAAAAAGTTCAACTTTGACCTCGTGCAAAGACACGTTACGAAGTTCTGAGGGGTATACGGCGCACACTAGCGTGTACCCAAACGTGTTTGCCATAAAATGCTGGGATGAAACCCACCCCTTCCTTGGCTCGTTTTCCCGCTATTCGCGATTGCGCAAAAAGTGTCCCAAACCCCCATTGACTTACTATGGGAAAAATGGAATCGCACGTGCCACGTGCCACGAGGTTTTAAGCGAGTAGCGACCGGTGCCATCAGGTAGATCGCCTCCGGGAGCCCATACACTGAACTTTTTACGAAAATCGCAATGCACGTTTAGGCCCCGGTCAAGTTGCCCCAATTCGCGGCCAGACTTGCAAAACATAGCCCGGAGAAGGACCGCTCCGGTTGTTTTTCAATAGAAAAACACAATTCTAACGAATAGTGTTTGTCTTTTCAAACAACCTGCGGTTAAGGCGACCGGAGCGCCTCTGACGGTGGAGACGTGCAACCACTACGCGGCATCTGCGATGCCGGGCTCCGCATCGCGGGACCGCAGGTTGTTTGAGCAAGCACCTCTGTGACCCACTCACCATTGAACGCAGCAAAAACGCCCGCCGCCAAGCGAGAGAACGAGCATTGCACGTGCAGACCGGAGTGGGTGTGCTACAAACTGACAAGCACGGCATCCTATTCGCCGGTCTATAGTGGTGCGCCAAATTTGAGTGTAATCGGCCCGGCCGTTTTCGAGATCTTGAAGCGGCACCCTTCACGTGCGCACGTGCAAGTTGGGTCCCAATTGTGTTGTGCACGGCACCCTAGTTGCCGGTTTCTAGAAGTGTACCGAATTTGAGCTAAATCGGCCCTGCCATTTTCAAGATCTGGAAGCGACCCCTACACGGCCGCACGTGCAGTTGCACCCCAACCGTGACACACGGAAATACAAACTAACTGACTTGTGCACAGCACCCTACTAACCGGTCTCTAAAGGTGTGCCGAATCTGAATGCAATCGGCCCAGCCGTTCCTGAGATCTGGAAGCGTCACCCTGCACGTGCGCACGTGCAACCTGGGGCCCAGCTGACCTGTGCAAGGCACCCTACTGCGCGGTCTCTAGCGGTGTGCCAAATCTGAGCACAATCGGCCCGGCCGGTCACGAGATCTGGAAGCGTCACCCTGCACGTGCGCACGTGCAGCGGCACCCCTACCGTGGCACATGAAAATGGATCGCCTGGTAGGTGACTACCTTCATGCCAAGTTTCAGCGCAATCGGCCCAGTAATTACCGAGTTATTGCACTTATTACAAAACTGACACCTGTCCGTATTACACGTGTCACGTGCAGTAGGGGCCACCGGCATGCATCATCCATAGTAAATACTTCTAAGAAGGGTATACGCTACCCCACACAAAAAAAAACCGCAAGTGAATCGGTCCAGTGGTTGCGGAGATATAACTCCTGCAAAAACGTCCCCACGGCGGTCGGCTGCTAATATTTAGCATTAAATCGCATCCTTCAATGAGAGGTATCCCCGTCACCTGTTCGTATACTGTCTGAGCCAAGACCATATATAGGTCTGAGCTCAAATCTCGATAGAGTCGTGCTTTTTTACTAAATTTCTCAAAAACGGCACAGCGTGCAATAACGCTCTATATATCATTGGAAAGAGCATCAAAAGTTGTATATCCTATCAACTTTTCACTTAAATATATCTTCAACGTACAAAGTTATTAAGCACCAAAGACGCTCCCATTGACTTTCCATGTTAAAAATTTTCATTTTTAAACGAGCTTGAAAAGAACAAACGAATTTGCACAGCTTAAAGAAGCATAACAACATGTTCTATGGTCTTTTCTCAACAAGTCCTGAAAGTTCAAACAAAATCGTATCATATAATTTTGTACAATGAGCGACTGAAAATGTCTCTGCAAAAACGCCCATTGACTTAACATGGGGAGCGAAAAAAGTTCAACTTCAAAGTCGTACTACAAAAAATATCGACTTCTTACGGGTATACGGTACACGGGGGCGTGTACCTGAACGTGTCGGCCATAAAATGGTGTGCAGTAAACCATACCTTGACCTGCGATTTTTCCCGCTATTCGCGATCGCGCAAAAAGTGTCCAAAACCCCGTTGACTTAACATGGGGAAAGTGGAATCGCACGTGCCACGTGCCACGAGGTTTTAAGCGAGTAGCGACCGGTGCCATCAGGTAGATCGCCTGCGGGAGCCCATACACTGAAATTTTTACGAAAATCGAGCCACAAGTTTAGGCCCCAATCAAGATGTCTCGATTCGCTGCCAGACTTGCAAAACATAGCCCGGAGAAGGACCGCTCCGGTTGTTTTTCAATAGAAAAACACAATTCTAACGAATAGTGTTTGTCTTTTCAAACAACCTGCGGTTACCTCACCTTCCAGTCGGCAGAGGTCCCTGACTGCGCCACCCAGTACAAGTGCTGTCCGCCCATCAGAGAAACAGAGAACAGGGTGAGCCTGCGGAGAGGATGCTGCGACTTGCGAGAGAGGTGAATGGGATGTTTTAGGATGTGATGAGATGTGGGTGGTTTTGTTGTTCACATTTTTTTTTTGTATTGCGCCCTCATCACTGAGATTCCGTTTAAGCCAATGACCCTAACCTGCTAATCATTAAATTATCTCCACCATCGTATTTCCTGTGCAAGCTGACAAACCGAACGAGTGCCGGTTAGGTCTCCCGTAATATCCAAACTATGCCTGTGTGTGCCTCGATGCAGGAGGCGCTTTGGGCAGCTGTGCAGAGCGGCCTGGTCGATATGGTGGTGTCCGACCACTCTCCCTGTACGCTGGATCTCAAACAGCCCGGAGTCATGGACTTCATGGAGGCCTGGGGAGGCATCGCATCCGTACAGTTCGGTAAGCAGTTGGGAGGCATTTTTCGTATCCGTAAAGTTCGTTAAGAACTGGTAGACGTTATGACTTCGGTAAAGCACTGTTTCCTTTTGTTTTCTATGTGAATTCACGTAGGTAATTGCTGTAGCGATACGTATTCGCCTAGCTATAATGTGGTGTCCAGATCTTTGCATTACCTTCTTGGTATATGTAGTCAGGTATTTCCCGTCCACACTGTATCATTCCACGTCCGACGCGTCCGTACAGACCTGCCGGTATTCTGCACACGGAGTACTGCATTATCATTCGTCTGATATATCCTTACAGACCTGTCCGTCTTCTGGACAGAGTGCTGTATTATCCCGTGTGTTTGTTATATCCGTGCAGACCTACCGGCGCTCTGGACGGAGTGCTACAATATCATCCTTCGCCTGTTGTCTCCCCCAGACCTGCCCGTGTTCTGGACGGAGGCCAGCCGGCGCGGTCTCTCGCTGCACGACGTCAGCCGACTGATGTCGGCCTCCACTGCTCGGCTGGCCGGCCTGGGCCGTCGGAAGGGCGCCCTGCGCGTCGGACTCGACGCCGACATGGTGGTCTGGGACCCGGAGGAGGAGTGGACCATCGCTGAGGGCGACATCATCTTCAAAAACAAGGCGGGTGGCTGGCACTTCTGGTGGGATATGTGTAGTACGCGATTTGCGTTGTCAAATGTGCGATTCATGACACGGTCCAATTCATGGGGTCATTGCTGGTTCATGACAATTGGTACTCTGGTATGCATCTCATGCATGGTTTGATTCTTTCTCCGAATGCTTCTGCAATGCCCTGTCTCTTCCTAAATCTGATAGATATCCGTTGTGTTTCCAGATCTCGCCGTATTTGGCTCGTCAGGTGCGTGGCCGAGTGCACCGTACCATCCTCAGAGGTAGTGAGATCTTCGGGTCAGGTCAGCTAACGTCACCACCAGCCGGACAGAAGTTATTGCTAGGACCGAAGCGGGACGAAGTCCCGGCCGAAGCCGGAGAGGACAACTCGACTGCGATTGAACCACAGACCAGTCAGTAAATTGAATGAAACATGGTGTCTGGGGACACAGCATTCAACCAGCACTGCCCAAGTACCCAGTCTGTCTACGGCATGTAAATGAAAAGAATCGGGGAAGGGATGCGCCAGTCAATTCCAGTCAGTTTAGTGTTTATGTGCGGCTATTGGACTGGTGCGGCTTAGTGCTGACATTGCGGGCCTGCCTAGGCATCAGCGTTGGCATTTTATCCGAGGGACAAACAGATTCAGCATTTCAGCTGTCGGTTTTGAACATGTGTATTTGCATGTACGCCAGGCAAAATGATATGACGCTTGTTTTATGCTTTGTTTTATTTTATCCACACTCTTCAAGGGTGTCATCGTAAAAGTTGGACGTATTTTGTATTGTTTGCTTATCACGTTGTTTTGCAATATGAATAACCGTAGCCCAACTCCTAAAATACACTGGAAGCATTTAAATCTCACGCTTTAGGTGCCGAAGTCCGAACCCGTGCTAGAGTTAAAGATACCAATCGTAAGAGCTCCATGGAGATGAATGAGCGAACAGCAGTAGGTACCTAATGTCTTTGCCTTCAATTAAGTCGAGAGGACGTAACTCTATGATGCAGTCGTCGCACGACGAAGTGCGAGGCGAACGGCTAACGGCTTCAGCAATACAGTGGAGTGGCCATTATTGGTGCGAGACTTCGAGCTGAGCATTTCAGCAGTCGAATTCCCATGTTTCATAGGGAGAAGGAGAAACACTGAAGGATGGCGACGAAGAGAAACAAAGAGAGGAGACCGCCATCGGTCCGTCTCCCCGGGTTATAAGACTCAGAGTTTTTTTTTCTCGCGAGTTCCCAATTATTTCCCGACCTCAGGTAACCCAGCTGTAAGGTCTCGACTCTCTGCTCTAAAGAAGTCTATTTCGGGGAATTTAAGCGCAATGCAACGATCCAACTCATAATTCTCGTTTTGCTCCTTCCTACCTCCGCCCGTCCAAGTGGCCGACGGACTCCCAGTACTGGTCCCTGAGAACCGGCGGCTGCACCGCTGTCCTCCGCGCGGCCGGGGCTCCCCTCGCACCGGCCGGTCGCCATTCAGTGGTCGGCGCGCACTTTAAACCATTAACATTCCTGTGATTGTGCGCGACGGCCGCGGCGGGCGCCGCGTCACCGGCAGCATTAATTTCGGCGTCAGACGCACAATCCTCCGACACGTATTGTGGCTTCCATTGTGGAGTTGGGGTGATCGGGAGCAGCGGACCGGCGCGGCCGGCCGGTCACCTGAGCGCTTCCTACAGGGGGAGAGGTGAACTCGGTGGGACTGAGGACGGGAGGTGAACTCAGTAGGAATTGGAGACGGGCGGTCACCTGAGCGGTTCCTGGGGTCTAAGGAGAGAGGCGAACTCAGGGCGATTGGAGATGGCATGCCACTATAGGGCGTAGCGGCTCTGGGGACAGGTCAGAAGGTGACCTAGAGGAAGGCGGTTTCTAGGGAGAGGTAAACTCATCGGATTGGGAGACTATTAGTAAAGTAATCTGGGAGGGGGAGTGGGACGGCAGGTCACTTCAGTGGGTGTAAAATGGCAATTCACTTCAGCGAGCTTTGGGATAGGGCCCGAGGGACGGAAGGTCTCCTCAGCGGGTCTGGAGACGGTAGGCCACTCAAGCGGTGTTTGGGGAAGGAAGGGCCGTTCGGCGGGTCTGATGATGGAAGTTGACTGCAGATAGTCTGGTGACGAGAGACACTGGAAGGTCAATGGTTATCTCAGCAGGTTTTTATGGTCGGTTCTTCGGAAGGCTCTGAAGGCTAACTATTGCTTCACTGGAGTTTGGAGAGGGTCGGCCACCTCGGCGAGGTTTGAGCACGTCCCCTCAGTGGTACCATTTATGTAAGGATATCCATCGCTCCTGCAGAGGGATTAGTCAGATGCAGACTAATCTCCAATGCGTAGAATAATAGACGGTCATCGTTTATTCAGCGGGATCACACGAGTAGGGCACCATCATCGCAACAGAATCATTTCAACAGTCGATTATGAGAAACGGTCACCTTATCATCCAGCGGGACTATGGAGACGGTCACCTCGGCAGGTTGTGAAGACGATAGGCCACAATCACTGGGAAGACATTGAACTCAGGACAACTTTACAAAGAAGTTTTGTAGCAATGTTAAAGGGACTATCCCACCTTGAACATGGGGTTTGAGTTGAGATAGCCAAGTTTGCGGCGAGGTTCAGAAACCACTATTTATCTAGGTTGCAACCCCCGCGGCCTCTTGGTGTTGAAGAAATTTGTCCCCTTCATTTGAAAATGGGCCTTGTACAAGGCCCTATCTTCAACATGGAGCGACCGTTAGTGTGACGTCACCTCGTTTAGTCATTCTGATTTAAATGGGTTTGTTCGTTGAAAAATCGCTTAAAACTTGGTCTGAACTTTGTTGTGGTGCCTACAGAGTAAAAAGAATCAGCTTTATGACAGTAATGTGGCCTGGGGAAGGAGGTACTTTTGGGCTGTGACATCACATATTTGAAACTTTGTGTTTGGAATATGGGAAGCCTAAGATGTTTAATGAAAAATAAATGCCAGAACCATGTTCCTGGTCATCCAATCTATAAAGTCGGGCACAATTTAACTGGTTTTAACAACATTTTAGAAGGTGGGATAGTCCCTTTAACGATGCATGCTCATTGTTCATACCCAGACGCAGTAATTTTGCTGTAATGGTAGCTAATCATTTCGGTTAATTATTCGACTTCATCCAGTTGACAATTAGATTTCACTCAGCGAAATTGTAGCCTTCCTTTTACCCGTTTGCCCAGGCCGTGAAGCACCGCGTTGCTAATGCTTTACATAAGTTCGAATATAATTGTTCCGCATCTCTCTTCACCAAACCTCAGGCGTTGTTACTATGCATACGGTTGATTTACCAGCGTTATTCGGTAAATGGTACCTAACTACGCATATTGATATACGAGTGATGGGCCATTAGCATTTCTAACTGTTCGCTCAGGTGGTACCGGTGCCGTTAGGAGGGTCGATTCTGAACCACCAGTTCCCTGGGCCGCTGGTCTGTGATCGTTCCGACATTCCGCGTCACACAATCGGTCGCCGTCTCCCAGGCCGCGGCTTTCTCTGCAACGTCCGCCGGCTCGGCCGGGCAAGTTACGGCCGCGCGGCGTGGCCAGCTGAATCAGACTCTTAATTAAACCCTTCATATTTCATTTTTGTCTCTCAGAGCCGGCTTTGAGCGCGGCCGCGGTGCCATTAGTTCCGGCGCCATTGAGCGGCCGCCCGTATCATTCCTTACCCCTGGCTAATGGCTCCACAAATAATGCGCTCTCATTTGGTTTGATTCCGGTCCAGAAGGTCTCTAATCCGTGGCTGCGCCGCATCCCGGCATTGTGCCTCCAGGTGTCACAAAGGTGGCGCGCCGGCGACAAAAGGTGACGCCGGCTCGGATCATCATTAGTTTCCGTGAGTGACGGCCGCTTTGTGACGGCGGCGGCGCGTCGGTCCGGCCCGGTCCGCCCCGCTCTCGGCACGGCGGCCCGGGCAGCGCGGCATCTGCCACCGTGAGATGGGATTAACTACCGGAGCCGGCCGGACGAACTCGGGGACTCCGGCGCTCCTCAGTAGTCGTCACTACTGCAGCCTCGGACTAGCTGAGTTGGCTGTGTAGTTGTGCACGGAAAGCCGCTAGCTACTTGAGGAAATTCTAAGAGCTCCAAGAGGTCTAAGAGCTCGTTTGGGAAATCCGCACAGAAGATACATACCATCTCCTTCATCGCCATCCCAGGACGAGTAAAAGGGTCAACAGGTACATACGAGTATAACCAACAAGGCCATGTTCAGGAAAATTGGAACGCGGCTTCGTTACTTCTTTAACTCCGCTTGCTGCCTATGCCGCCTGGCCGAGTAGATGGGCGTCAGAACGTCCCGGCTCGTCCACTTTGTCTTACTCGTATGTACTGGGGCCACCACGCCGCTCCGCCACTAAGCGATTTACCTACTTCTTTTTCCTAAATAAATAGGTACAAATGCATGCATGACATATCTACCACGCATATCTATGAAGGACCATTGACCAACCGGCTTTATAGACCATGACTCGTTAAAATGAGGGAAAAGTCACGGGGAAAGATGAACTATAGGTAAGTGTACCTAAAAGAAAACGGTTTGTGAATAGAGACAACAAATAATAAGTGAAATGCAACCGACTATTTATATCTTAGGCAGAGCGGAACGTATGCTTTGGGCAATAAAAGAATCAGTATTTTTTCCTGGTTAAGAAATGTTTATTCCAAAGCAAAACTTAACCCGCGCCCCGTAGGGGGGGGGGGGCCGAAACGGCCCCCCCCTGTCCTTTTCGGTCGATATCTCCTAAACGGCTGGAGATATCGCCACCAAACTTTCAGGACCCCTCCGGGCATCAATTTTGCACATTGTGACCAAAAATTATTCCAGAGGCTATGATAGGTTGGCCACAAATGACGTCAGAGTGACGTCATGTTCTGTCATTTTCGACCGAAAAAAGACCTTCGCGAGAAGACCTGTCAGGACTACAGCTTTGAAGATACAGAAAAATGATCAAGACATAAAAGGTGTAGAATTGACAGGGCTACAAAACTGCTATCTCGAATTTTTGAAATTTTTGAGTTTTGACCCCCAAAAATCAAAAAAGCATTTTTTTGGATATATTCGCCAAAAAATCCAAAAAGTTTTTTGAGTTTCGAAAAAAACCGGAATATATGTGATAGTGCCTACCGTCTTCTATCTACATACCAAATTTCAGATCGATACCTCGTTTTTTGGCCAAGTTATAGCGAAAAAACTGTTCAAAAATGATGACGTCAAATTTTCAAACTCAATTTTTGGCAATTCTAGAACTCGTAGAGCAAAACGAAGACCACCATTAGACTCCCCGTGACGAGCTGCATCGAATCGATACCCATTTTATGCAAAAATATCAACTTTGAAATTTGACCTAATTTGACCTGACCTTGACCTGACCTTCACAAAAACGTGACCTAGGCTGGCCCCAAAGGCTGCCTAACCCACATAATCGCATTTGTCATGTAAAATGGACCATAAAACATGTATCACACGACACATTCATATTGTGACCCCCGGTGACCTGACCTCGCTGTGACCTGACCTGGTATCAGTGACCTCAGATAGCAAAGTATGTGTTTGACGAACAATGTACCATCGATGGTTTTCAATAAATTACCAATTTACTCGCTTTCACAGCACATTTCTTGAATTGCCTGTGAACGGTGAAAATCTGACCTTTGACCTGACCTGTGACGTCATCGGTTTGACCTAGGTCAATGAAATTTGGTCACAAGGTAGTTGCCGGGTGGGGCTATCGAACGCCGTTCGAATTTTGAAAATCGGCCGGTAACTTTCCGAGATCTTAGGGGGGGGGGGCCGATACGGCCCCCCCCCCTACGGGTGGTAGGGTCCGCCGGTAGC